TTAAATCGGTTTTAAATACATTGAAATTATACATTGAAAACAATGAAGGCAATACTCCCCGTACCTTATTTGCCGACTCTAAGCCTTCTCTTTGACTTTCAAAAAACCTTTCGAAGCTTTTGCCTCAAACCACTTCCTCAGAGCTCTGACCTCAATTTCTTTTCACGGTCTAACAAGAATGAATCCTAATCCCATCAAAATTCTTTGTTGTTAAACCTAACCTTGGGCCTTAAAATTGGGCTTTCTAATATTACCCTCACAAACTCCTCCTCAATTGTCCAATTTGTCCTTAGTTTAACTTATATTTATTTAAATTAATAATAATACCAATATATTCATATTATATACTATTATTTAAATGAATAACTTTAAAATCCATAATTCTCCATATTTCACACCAACCACCGAAAAAATACCAAAAATACGAATATTCATATTTAATAAATTAAATAAATATTCCAATAAATTTGGGGTGTTACACCAGCCCACAATGTAACCCTATTATGAACATAACAAGCAGTATTCATAGCTTCAGCCCAAAAGAGATATGAAAAATTCTTAGCATGAAGCATTACTCTTGCAGATTCTGATACAGTCGTCATCTTTTGCTAGACAATTTCACCATGTTGAGAAGAGATGAAAGAGAAAATCTCATAACTTATGCCTCTAAAAGCATAAAACTCTAAAAATTTTGCACTCTCAAACTTTTATTATGATAACTCCTAATCTCGATAATCCTCCTCTTCTGTTCCCTTTGAACATCTTGACATATATCTTTAAGGGTTTCAAAGATGTCTGACTTTTCTTTAATGAAGCTTACCCATGTAAACTCATAGAAATCATCTATAACCATAAAAACATACTTCTTCCCACCCAGGCTTTGTTCTTGCATTGTCCCCATTAAGGCTATGTGAATAAGTTACAAAACTTTGGAAGTAGTTCATTGTTGCAACATTGATGAGAACATCATGGGTTGCACACCAACCTTACATTCACCACAAACTTCTTAATTTATAACCTTGAGATCTGGTATCCCTGTAATGGCTCTTATTGTCATGATCTCATACATCTTTTTGGGAGAAATATGTCCAAGTTTCTGGTGACATAGCTTCACTTCTTCCTCTTTAGGAATGGAGTAGGATGTAGATTAAGTTGTAGCATGAGGTTCCCAAAGATAATAATTGCATTTAGATCTCACACCTTTCATCTGAATAATGTTCCTTCCATCATTAACTAGGCATTTTGACTTAGAGAAATTTACTAACAAACCTTGATCACACAACTGACTAATACTAATGAGATTGACAGTTAGACCTTTCACAAAGAGAACATCATCTAACCTAGGGCATCTAGAACATTCCAAATTACCAATACCTTTTATTTCTCTTTTCACACCACCACCAAATCTTATAGAACCTGTGGACTGGGATTTCATATCCACCAACAACTCCTGAGCCCCTGTCATATGTTTGAAACATCCATTATCAAAGTACCAGTCATCTCTAGTTGAAGCTCTCAAAGAAGTGTGAGCAACAGAATTCACCTCCCTATCTTTGAAGCTCCTCTTTTTGCTTACTTGATTGACCTTGAAATGAACAATAGGTTTTTAATTTCGATGTAATTTATAACAAAAAGATTTTATATGCTCATACTCGCCACAATGATGACATTTGCAAGACGATTGATAATTACTTTGATGTTCATCATGTCTGCCTGGGTGTTGTAACATGTGGTTTGACATTGTAACCATCCTTTTCCTTTCTTGGGCAAAGAACTTCTCTACATACACTTTCCTTTGATTGTTAACAGATTAATAATGCATATAAGCCCTCATCATTCTCACAGAGTCTATTGCACTACTGAGCTTGGAATTCAAGAGAGTTATCTCATTTTGAAGATGAGAAATAACTCCTAATATTTACTTCTTCTCATTCTCTATTTCAGTTATGGCATTCCTCTGATTCTCCTCTGCCTTCTGATATTCTTCACACCTATTACAAATTTCCTTGTAATCTACATCCAAATCTTCATATAGACCGTTTTCATCACATCCTTATATTTTGTCAGCCCATCTGCCAGAAAGAGCAGTAGCAGATTCAATAGTCTCTTTATTGGATTCATTTTCAGACTCCTCATCCAAGAAACAGTCAACCTTTTTTTTCTGTTTCCTGAGATAGTTTGGACATTCTGGCCTAATGTGACCAAAACCCTCACACTCGTAACACTGGACCCCTTTATTTATATATGTCTTTTCTTCAGTTCTCGTATTCTTTTAAGAATCATAATTATTTATGATGTCAGAGGTGATGTCCTTGACACCTGATCTTCCTCTTCTATCCATTCTCTTTAAGATTCTATTGAACTGCTTCCCAAGTAAAACAATTGTACTTAACAATTCTTCTTCAGTATCCAGGTTAGCCTGTCCCTCTTTATCTTCAGTATTTGATACAAAAGCAAAACTTTTGTTCCTTTTATCAGACTTGTCACTAATAGCCAACTCAAACGTTTGAAGAGAACCAACAAGTTCATCAACCTTCATGTTGTTGATATCTTGAGCTTCTTCAATGACAGTTACCTTCAAATCAAATCTCTTTGGAAGAGACCTGAGAATCTTCCTTACCAACTTTGCTTTTGATATTTTCTCTCCCAAAGCACTAAATGCATTGGCTATGTCAAGAATATTCATGTGAAAGTCATGGATACTCTCATCCTCAAACATGTTCAAATTCTCAAATTTGGTTGTCAGCATTTAAAGCCTGGACATCTTAACTTTAAATGTGCCTTCATGGGTTGTCTTGAGAATTTCTCAAGCATCCTTAGCAACAGTGCAAGTGTTGATCAACCTATACGTGTTTTTGTCCACTCCATTGAATAAGGCATTCGAGGCTTTGGAATTTCCAAGAGCAATTTCATCTTCCTCCTTGGTCCAATTCTCTTCAGGTTTCAAGGATTCTTTACCATCCTTATCCTTAACAACAGGGTGCTCCCAACCCTTGATGATAGCCTTTCAAGTTCTGCTATCCATAGATTTTAAAAAGGCCACCATACATGCCTTTCAATAGTCATAATTTGTGCCATCCAAGATTGGAGACCTATTAACATTTCCTCCTCCTTCCTTGTCCATAGTACCATAATACAACCTCCTTGGAGCTCACCCAAAAACAGAACAGGGTGATCTGCTCTAATGCCAATTGAAATTCTGGCACGCAGATACCAGATGTCGAGACAGATGTCACAACACTAGGATCAAAACACAGATTGCACACACAATAATAAAAAACTGTAAATTGCATAAAATAAATAACACCAAAGTTATTAATCCAGTTCAATGCAACTCACCTACATCTAGGGGCTACCAAGCCAGGAAGAAAATCCATTATCAGTAATATTAATTCGAAGCTAAACAATCTCAATTTACAACTCCTCACTTAATCCCTACCTAGTGCAACTTCTACCTAGGAACTCCTAGATATGAGAACTCCTCCCACTCCCTAATCATCTCAGTGATATCAAACAATCACAACTCCAGTGACTGTATACAAAGCAACACAACAGAAGATCACAATTTCAAAGCAATACTTGATCTTGCTTAAAAGCTTCAACCAAGAATAATACACTCTTTGCTTAAAAGCTTCAAGTAAACAATGAACAATCAGTCAAACTCAATGCATCAGAAGATACATAGTAACATACAATTAACAAACGAAAATCCTAGGTACCAACCAAAATAACAGCTAATCACTATTCTCTAAATTCTCACGATATGCTCTCTTCTTTAAATATGGTTTTTCTCTTCTCTTTAAATAGCCTTCAGACCTACTGGACTTGGACTTCATGAGGCGCACAAATAGTAGCAATCAGTATAAACTGACTGCAAATCAACCTACATAAAAATAGGAGAAAATACAAACTTTCCTAAAAAGACTCATGGATCCTTTTTATGAAAAGTAACATAATCTGTAATAACAAAAATTCCCACAATATACTCTCATAACAGTCACCAAGTATGCATTAGAACACACTAAAAAATACACTAAAATTATCAAAATAGCCATGCCCTAGCTACCTGGTATAACATGTCCTGGAACATGTCACAACATCATTTAGAACATGATGTCTGACTGATATAGCAGAACATTTGATTCAAAATCTTGCTAACAACATGTTATTTTACCAAAATACAATCAACCGTGTTTCAAGATTAGCATTGTCATTGCCTATATCATAATATTCCTATAATCATTGACAAATCAACATGTCCTAGTTCTTAGTTGATATGCATGCACACATGTTTGTTTCACTTTTGCACTAAAATATAATCATTTAATCTAATTGTTTTATTAAAAATATTTATGCAATTAATTATTAATTTAAAAAATAAGAACATGGACGTCCAACGTAGAGTCAATAAAATATCCCAAAACTCTCGGATCACAACAATATTCGAGCTCCCCGGAAGTCGTTAAATTCACAACTCCAACACACATATTGGAAGGCCTACGCCAACCACGACGTAGACTCTAAACATCCTCAATTAGAGAATACATCATCACCAACACAAATCAACAATGGCAACTAGATACCGGAAATGATCATGGACTGAGAGCCAGATCATAAAGCTTAAAGAGAGCTGCTGATAATCAAGAGGAAATCGAAGACGCCAACAAGAGAAATGACCTCATTAGCTAAAGCTTAAGACCTTGGAGTGAATCTGTTTCAAAACATTCACAATGTGGCTGAAATCAATATCTAAGATAATGTTTATTTTTGCTACAAATAATACCTTAGAAACATATGAAACTGACATATTGTTAAGCCAAAGAACATCTTTAGTGCTGAACTAATAGTAATTACATTACAGATACAATTCACTAATTTACAAAAACAATGAAATTTGTTACATTCTTTTTCATAAACTGGTTACTACATTCTTTCTCTAAGTGCTCATTGGTAATACGATACGGATACCAGTACAACTTGTTTCGACTTTGAATGAACAGTTAAGAGTATAGTGATTTGAAGCCTTCTGTTAATGGAACCACTTTTGCTGACACCTTCGACTGCAATTTTGCCACAGCTTGACGAATATCCTGCGGATAGATCGGCACATAACATTATTACGATAGATATTTGTTAAAATTTCGCTACACATGAGCACTACAGCATGGTTATAGCCGTTATTCGACAACATTGGTTATGCCCCCTCCCAAGAGCTTTGCATCTAAATGGTATCATCCATATATTGAAGGAAAACTAAAACAGTACCTCTATGTTGTATCTTGATGAAAAATGAGTCAACAGAACTGTTTTGTTGCGAATCCATTGAGCATTTTCAATAAGCTACAGTTAACACATGATTACGAAAATCACAAAATGGCACGAGATCAGGAAAAGTTCATCTTTGTGCATCTTGATTTTGTCAAACTAGCTATAAAATAATGAAAGATAATGCGTTACCTCAGATATATGTGTATGACCGTGTTGGCGTGCTTGCTCTACGCTGGTTGAATCATCTAAGAAAGTTGCCTGTTAAAATAATTTCAACAATCGAATAAATCAAACAAAAAAGTAGGTTGAACTCCCAGAGACAAATTTATTGTAACCATTCTAGAAAAAGATTATGATGTACCTCAGTTATAAGCACTTTTGCTCTCAATGCATCGGCATTAAGCGGGTCTAGCATAAAATCCGATGTTGTATCCCCAGCGAAGGCCACCTCGGGAGATAATATAGTGTCTGTAATCTAGAAACAAGAGTTCATTAAAAATAAAGATAACAAATTCAAATTAGAATCGAGTTTGCGATATTACAAACCTGAACACCCGATTTTTTTACTTTCTCAATTTGTTTCCCGTTCATGTGACTGTATTGCTTCCTCAGCTTTTTCCTAATTGAGTAGACTACATAACCCTGCAAAATTCAACCAGGTTCACATTGTTACCCTAAGAGATCTGCAAAGCATCGCAGTATTCTCGATGGCAGAAGGCCAAAAGCCACCACATAAACAAGTGAGGTAAGTTCTAATATAGATACCTGGCTTGGTATAACATGGTGTGTTTTGAACGGTCGAACAACAAGGTCATTCCGTATTTCATACGTCTCCCCTGAAATGAAACTTTACAAATCATTCCCTCATAGATAACCTCTGACCATCAAAAGAAGGACAAATGAAATTGACACATACCGACATCCAAAGCAACCAATTCACAATTCAGTTCAACATGGCCCAAGGCCTCGTGAACTTCGAGCAACTTCTCAACATCATCTTTGATGCAAGGAGGAACAAATACGGTAGGAGGTTTCAAATTATATAAACCCCGGCTTCCTATATACATTGGCAGTCCTCCCTAAATCATTCAAAATCATTATGAGCTTATTTAAATATATTCAGATTGCATCAGTGTTGTCAATTACGGATCACGAGATCATGGAAAGTAGAGGCAGAGAAATGCTCTTTCTTATGACGAAAAATTCACATAGGTATGGTTGTGAACATAAAATGACCAATAAGGAGACTTGGCATTGGCTAACCATACATTGGCGGCTATTGAATTAATAAGATATGCTTCAAACTCATCATGTCACTCGTAATTCCGTTTCTCGGTGACACATTTCTTATAGTGATAAATTGATTATAACTAAAAGTGAATTGAAGGTAAAGTCAAAAGTGAGCTGACCAGTAGATTGAGAGCAAAAATCACGTGTAGACTCAAAAGCTACAAATCTTAACTTCAAGTAGAATCAATTCTAGAAAGCATAATCAATTATACTTAGAGCAACAAGACACTTCATAATCAATTATACTCGAGAACAACCAAACACATCGCAATCAATTCTACACCTCCAGAATCAATTATGCGTACTCCAAACATGAAACCAAACATATACTAATTCAACTACAAAAAAGAAGCAGAAATGAAAACAATAAAAAATGTGATAACTTACAATGTGATCAAGATGAGCATGAGTAATAAAAACAAAATTCTGATGAATAGCTCTAGTTGGGCACCTTCCAATATCAAAAGCACACTTAAATTCAGGAATAATAATACACGTCTCGTGTCCTCCAATTGAAACTCCTTCAATAGAATAGCCTTCCAAGTCCAAACCTTTACGATTAACCTGCGATTTCGCTACTCGGTACTGCTCTTCGTAATCGATAGCTTTGCTGATTTCTGATAAATAACCTGAGCCTTTAATGGCATTGACGACATGGGTTTGAAGTGGAATTTGGTTGGGTTGTTTTGGAGAGAAAATTGGTTGGTGAAATTGGAAAATTTGAGGGGTTTTGAAGGGGGGGTTTGTGAGGGATATTTGCATGGTTGAATGGCGTAGGGGAAGAATCGTCATGGAAAGGGTTTAAAGTGGGTTTTGGAAAGTAACTGTGTTGAAGAAACACTGATGATGGTGTTGTGGAAGATAAGGTTAACTTGGTACTGGTTTTGTTTGTTTTAAATATTATTTTTATAAATTATTTGCATTTTTAAAACACAACAAATTATTTTAACCGCAAATGCTATTCCTATGTCATTTTCTTACATCAAATACATACATTATACATATTATTTACCGTTATTATACAATAAACTGTTTTTTTTTTAAATTAATAAAATAATAATTTTTACCGTATATAAACAATTATTTTAAAATAATAAAAATAATAAAATATAAAAAATTGGTTAATTGAATAATAAAGTTGATTAATAAACACTTATATATTAAGAATTATTTTAATAACTAATTAAAATTAATTAATAAAAAGTAAAAAATTGATTAAAAAAAATGAAGTTGATTAATAAACGTTCAAATATTAAAATATTTTTTAACAATAAATAAAGTTAATTAATAAAATATAAAAAGATTGATTAATAAAGTTATGAAATTAGTTAATCACACAATTTTATATTAATAATATTTGACTTAAAAAATTAAAATAATAATTTTTATATTCTCTTAATATATATATATATATATATATATATATATATATATATATATATATATATATATATATATATATATATATATATATATATATATATATATATATATATATATATATATATATATATATATATATATATATATATATATATATATATATATATATATATATAATATTTTACGGTATACATGTGTATGAATTTGGAGTTGGAATAACATTTTTTTATTTTAATTATCAAATTTTAACAAAAAAAAAAGTTTTCTTAATTTATAAATATGTTGTTTCTCATTATTTTCTTGTAAAGGTTGACGTAGTTGTATTTGTATTGCAATCATTTTATATGTATAATACAAGGTTGATTTGTTTCATAAAATTTTTAAATAAAAATTTGGTTTGAGCAATTATTTTAAAATGTTATTTTAGATATTTTATTATTTTATTGAATATTTTTTAATATAAAAAATTCAAAAATTCACTTAAATTTAAAATTATTTTAAATAATTTTTTATAAAAATTATTTTTAAAATATATATTTTTAAAAGATTGCAATTTTGATTATGTTTTAATTTTTAATAAAATATATTTATAGTATATGATGTCAAAATTAGTCTTTTAATTTAAAAAGACGACTATAAAAAACTTGTAATATTTTAAAAAATATTTTTATAAAATTCATTTTTTAAAATTAAAAGTAAAAAATTATTTTTTAAACTTGAAACAAATAGACACATAATATAATATTAAATTAATTATTTGATTCTCTATTTTATTTTATCTATTCACATAAATAGTTCACATATTTTAAATTCAATTGTTTTAATGTATTTTCACATTTTTAGACTTAAAATAAAAAATGTGTCCATTTTAAATGACGGTTTATTTAAAAAATGTGATAAATTATTGTATAAAAATATTTTATGAAATTTTAGTTAAACAAGGCACCTTTAATGTCATTAGTGCTTACGCATCTCAGGTTGGGTTGGAAAAATACTTTAAGGTAGAATTTTAGAAGGATTTAGAAGGATTATTTTATGATATATTCCAAGGAGAGAAGCTTTTTTTTAGATGGAGATCTAAATGGACGTGTAAGAAGTGTAACAAGATGTTTTGAAGGCGTGCATGTGTATGGCCTTGGGGAGATAACTACGAATGATAAATCAATCTTGGAGTTTTCATCGGTCTTTGATCTCATTATAGTTAATATCTGAGTTAGAAAAAGAGATGACTATCTTATCACATATAAAAGTGGGGTGACATGTTCTCAAACAGATTTCTTTCTTATTCAGAAATATAATAGAAAAATTTTTTTTGGACTACAAAGTTATTCAGGGTGAGAGCTTGACTCTTCAACATAGAGTATTGATTATGGATGTAAAAATCAAGAAGAGATTTAAGAAAAAAATGTCATATGTGAACATCACTAATCAAGTGGTGACATTTTAAGGCTGAAAACACAAGAAAATTTCCAACATAAGATCTTGGAAGGAGGGTTTAAACAACCTCAAGGAAGTGTAAATGATATGTGGGAAAAACAAGAATTTTTTTTAACATAAGATCTTAGAAGGAGGGTTTGAACAACGTCAAGGAAGTGTAAATGATATGTGAAACAAGATGACACAAGAGATTAAAAAAGTATTTAAAGAGATATTTGGAGAATCAAGAGGTTTTGAACCCAGGGGTAAAGAATTGTGGTGGTGGAATGAAAGTGTTTAGAGTAAAGTTAGAGTTAAAAAGGATTGCTTTAAAGAATGATTTAGGTGTAAAAGTGCTGAAACTTGAAAAAAGTATAAGAAAGCTAACAACGAGGCCAAGAAGGTGGTGAGTGAAGCAAGAACTCAAGCTTTTGATGTATTATACCAATCTTTAGGAATCGAGGAGGGAGAAAAATTTATATATAGGTTTGTTAATGGAAGAGAAAGAAAGATAATATATTTGGATCAAGTAAAATGTGTTAAGGATGAAGATGGCAAAATCTTGATTTAGGAAAAAATATAAAGGATAGGTGGAAGACATATTTCTATAATTTACTTAATGAAAGATATGATATCTCACTGAACTCCAGCAGACTCGACATTAGAAAAGAGGACCAACTACAATCACTACAATCATATTTGAAAACAAGAGGTAAAAGAAACGTTGAGAGAGATGAGCAACAATAATGTGGTTGGGTCAGACAACATATCTATTGAAGTGTGGAAAGTTCTTGGAGATAGAGGTATTGAGTGACTCACCAAACTCTTTAACGAGATTATGATGTCAAAGCAAATGTTAAATGAATGGAGGAGAAATAATTCAGTTCCAATCTATAAGAATAAGAAATATATACAAATTTATGCACATTATAGAGAGATTAAATTTATGAGTCATATCATGAAGTTATGGGAAAGAGTGATTGAACAGAGACTAAAGCCATTGAGAACCAACTTGGTTTTATGCCCAAGAGGTCGACCATGGAAGCGATTTGTCTTTTAAGACAGGTGATGGAGAAGTATCAGATGAACCAATAAGACTTGCATTTAATTTTTATTGACTTGGAGAAGACGTATGATAGAGTTTCTAGAGAGATTTTGTGGAAAGTCCTAGAGAAGAAAGAGTTATGATTGCATATATTCGAGTTATCCAACATATGTATGAAGGAGTGTCGACTAGTGTACAGACGCAGAGTGGAAAGACAAACGATTTCCTCATTACAATAGGTTTGAATCAAGGTTCAACCTTAAGCCCCTACTTTTTTTATTTTAATTTTGGATGTTCTTACGGAGGACATCCAAGAACTAACATCGAGATGCAATTTTTTTGTAGATGAAGTCCTACTTAGTCGGAGGAAGATTTAAATGAGACATTGGAGGCTTGGGCACGAGGTTTATAAACGCACGACTTTCGCCTAAACAGAAGTAAGACGAAGTATATGAAATGTAAATTCATCAAAAGGAGAAGTGTTTCTAACTTAGAGGTAAAAGTTGAAGACCATATCATCCCACAAGTCACGCAGTTTAAATATCTTAGATTCGTAATATAGAGCAATGGATACAAAGAATGGGATGTGAACCATCAAATTCAAACTATGTGGTTGAAATGGCGGGGGACTTCAGGAATTTTATGAGACAAAAAGGTACAACTCAAGTTGAAGGGAAAATCTTATCAGTCTGCAATAAGACATGCGATATTGTATGGGACAAAATGTTTGACATTTAAGAATCAATGCGAGAATAAAGTAAGTGTAACAGATATAAGGATGTTGTATTGAATGTGTGATAAATCTAGACTAAATAAGATATAAATGACAAAATTAGAGAGTGTCAGAGTATCACATATAGTAAAAAAGATGGTGAAAAATATACTTCAATAGTTTGAACATGTAAATAAAATACCTTTAAATTTTGTGGTAAAAATAGTAGGTCAGATAAAGAAGAGTCAAATAGCTTGAGATAGAAAAAGACCTAAAAAAACCATAAGAGAAATTATTAAGAAAAATCTTGAGATTAACAATTTGGATAAAAACATGATAATTATAGTAAGAGTTAATCCATATAACCGATCCCTCTTTGTGGAATAAGACTTAATTATTGTTTATAAAAATATATAATTGAATCACAACAAGTATTTGTACTAATTACTTAAACAATTAAAAAATAAGATAACATCGCACAAGGAGACATATCATCTTGATTTCAGATTTGAAATATTTACAAATGCATCAACAAAACACACTTTATCTATACATGATGAATTGTGAGAAATGCTTGTTTGATTCTGCAAATGATACATCACTACAAACTCCAACTTTTGATGTCGACAAGATTATCTCTGCATCTTGTAAGGTGAAACCATGAATAATAGGCAAAGGTAACCCTTTACTTAGATGCGAATTCGCATACGGCAAAAAAACCGTTTCAATAATCGTCCACATTGCTGGCTGCACCAGAAAAGAAAAACACACCTTCGATCAACAAGACACATCTTAAAATTCATTTTTGTTTATTAACTATGTGTCTATTTGGATAAACAACTTATTTAATCGCTTATAGCAGAAGTACTTATCATATGTGTTGCATTACACGTACAATATAATCGCACCTGAATAAGGAACATTCGTAGATTTCCAATGTTGCTCCATTTCAATGACATTCCAAAGTCGTCCAATCTGATGGTACCTACTAGGTTGTTTCCGTTTATTTTGACCAAACCCGAAGCTTGAATCATCTGCGCAAACAAGACGGAATATATCAAATACTTGTAAAAGTAAAAGATCCACAAGAAAGGACAACTTATTGCAAAGTGTATAAAGACACAACGAATTTTGCAGCTGAATAGAATATCAAAGGTCCTACCAATGAGATACATGCTACTGGTATTACTTCATTTTCTTCCAAAACATCGATTGTTAAGTCTGCGAATACGTGCA